CTGCTTCTTGCTCAAGTGGTCAATGTCGAAGCCTCGCGCCTTACAGTATATGCGGTAGAGGGCCGGGCACTTCACCGCTGCTCGTTCATCGTGCGCAGACTTGGGGGGCAGTGCCATGATGCACGCATGGCACTGCGGCGGACAACTCAGGGTAGCCCACCATTTTCAGGATGCCAGCCAACATTCCCAATGCATCAACTGGCGCCGAGAGAAAAAGAGGAGGTTTCCAAAGGTCGACGCCAATGGCCGTCGCGGGAGAGAAACACGTGCACGCGCGAGCAACATCGCGAAGCTCGAGGGGGGGGTGTTCTTCAAGGGGAACCATCGCCAGCGAGCGCAACTCGTTCAAACCAGCGTTCAAACACCTAGCTTGATGAGTATTCGGGGTCCACCAGGACACCCGCTAATCCTTGCGATGTTTCACCGTGCTCGCTTGGGTATTCACAATGCCCGACTTAGTTTCAGCGCGTTCCACCCAAACCTTATATTCAGTCTTCAGATATCCGCGCACAGGCCGAGCTCCTCTTGGTAGAGAAGCCTTCAGCCACGTGGGCGTGCACTTCTTCGTCATGCCATGGGCATGTGACCAAGCCTTCGAACAAACATGTCTGCGGCATGCGCCACTTCTCGGAGAGTACCAGGATTGCCCGGGGGGGCGTCAAGCCTGCCGTGCCAAACATTCGCCTCAGTGGTAGACGCCAGCGGCGCAAGATGAGAGACAACCTCGGCAGCAAGACCTGCGCGAACGCCGCGATGTGGCCGAGCAGCATCGGAAAAAAAAGGACACTTGCGAGAAAGCTTCCAAAGCTCGAAAAGACGGGCCGAGACCAACGACAACTAAGACAGATCAGGATTCCGGAATCTCTGCGTCTGTACACTTCGAACCATCAGAGACTTGTCTTTCCGTTCCTTCAACGTCGAGCCTCGGCCGCGGTAAAACTTGGCGTCGCCCGCGACAGCGCGCCCACGAGATCAGGCTTGCAACTCTAGGGCACGTGACCATGTAAGGCACTGCTTACCTAATGCTCCAGATACGCGGTCCACCACGTGCTCAGGAAGTGCAGAATCCATATCTTCAGGCATCGCCAAGGGGGCCTCCAGGAGACTCGAACTAGCCTGAGCCATGTAAGTGAGCCAGTGACTACCAGGGCCCAAGGCCTCAGGGATCTCACGGGGCTTGCTTCTCCGACAGACTCCGCAAAAGCTTCCATATAGAGGGCCGCGTCGAGACGCGCATGGGTCTTGAAGGGGGGCGCCAGGTCGGCATTCACCGCCGGGTGAGGGTAGAAGACGCGCGAGCCCACGACGTGCTCAATCATAGTTTCACCCACCGCACAAGTGAAGTGCACGTTGCCAGGCAGGCACGCCCTGGCAGACATCAACTCCAGGACGCCAGAATATTCCAAAACATCCTCGGGCACGCTGAAGCCCCCCAACAGAAACTACGGAATCGAGAGCCCTCGTAAAAGCTCAGCAACCCCGCGGAGACGACCTGACTTGGCACCCGAGACCCCGATGGACGGAACCAAATGAACCGCGCCCACGGCAACGATGCACGGTTTCAATCGCATCCCCAGGAGAATAAACAACATTCTCCTGAACCAACTTGCGACGCTTTAGGCGCCTGAATCAAAAACTTGCGGGTGCACGAGCCCGGCTGGACGGCGGCCGCAACTTCCCCATGAGCACCTCCCCCTGGCGAAGCCAAGGCATTCTGAACATGCGGAGCCCATATCATGAACCTGCAACGCTTCTTCAGAAGGAAGGCCTTCGGGCAGCGCGCGCGGTGCTCGGCCATGAAGACCCCATCAACCTCAGCAATCTTAGCTGTAAGGAAGTCCTGAGCAAGCTTAGACCCCTGAGTTATTTTCATGAACTTAGAGAGAGCGTGATCCACCGCCGCTTTACTGTGGAAAATTGCCAACTTTTTCCTCCGGAACCTGGGGGTCGCCCCCCCCCCCTCCGAAAATCCCCCCCCCCCCCCCCCCTGCTGGAACCCCCCTCCCCCCCCCCCCCCCCCCCTCCCCCGCCCCCCCCCCCCCCCCCCCCCCCCTGACCCCTCCCCCCCCCCCCCCCTTCGAAAGCCGGGGGGGGTCACTACCGGTTCGAACCCCCCCCTTCCCCCCCTCCGATCGGAAAACCGGGGGGGGTCACTACCGGTTCGAACCCCCCCCCCCCCCCCCCCCCCTCGAAAACCGGAGGGGGATCACTACCGGTTCGAACCCCTCCCCCCCCCCACTCACCGCCAGCAAACGACTCCCGGTCCCTACCACCGTCCGCATCACATCCTCCACTGTTGTTCCCAGCACCACTGTCCTCACCACCACTGTCCCCACTGTGTCCCCACCAGTGCCCCCACCACTGTCGCACTGTCCCCACTGTCCCCACCACTGTTCCCACCACGGTTCCACTCGCCCCACTGTCTCCACGGCCCCAACCGCTGCCCGACTATCCCCACTCGCCGCTGTCCCACTGAGCTGTCCCACTGTTCCCACCACTGCCCCCACTGTCCCCGCCACTGTCCCCACTGTACCTCTGTCCCATTGTCCCACCGCCGTCCTCGCCACCGCCTTCACCACTGTCCCCACCACCATTGTACCCTCCACTGTCCCATTGTTCCCACCTCATTCCCACTGTGCCCACACCACTGTCACCACCACCGCCGCCCCCACCACTGTCCACTGTCCCCCCTGTTCCCACCATTGTCCTCACCACTGTCCCCACCACTACTGGCCCTCTACTGTCCCACTGTCCACTGCCCCCACCACTGCCCCGCTGTCCCCTCACCGCAGTCCCACCAACACCGTCCCCACCTCTGTCCGCGCGCCCACTGGGTTTTCGAGAGGGGGGGGGGGGGAGGTGTTCGAACCGGTAGTGACCCACCCCCCCCTTTTCATGATGAGCTGGGGGGGGGGGGGAGGGGTTCGAACCGGCAGTTACCCCCCCGGGTTTTCCGGAGGGGGGGGGGGGAGGGGTTCGAACCGGTAGTGACCCCCCCCGGTTTTCCGCCAGCAGCGGTAGAACACGCTCTTTCTGAACTTAGGAAGTACACTAGAAGCTACTGCACGTGGCTTGGAGAGCGCGCCAGGAACGGGGCAGGGACTGACCACTGCTAATGCCAGGCTGCTGCTCAGCTGACGCCTGCTGCGCAGGCTCGCCGTCGCCCGCGACTGGCTTCCGTCTAACACAAACTGTAGAAGCAGCTGGCCCGCCAGGGAAGCGCCCAAGCTGATTAGCAGCACGCCGGCAGAAGGCGCGGTACATGTCGCAGGTGGCGTTATGTCCCTTATTCGCGCGATTCGTCGCTCGTCCGTGAATATGCTTCTGTAGTAGATCATGGCACTGCTGTGCAGGCTGGGCATCCAGTCCACTTTCAGCAGCACGTCGTTTGAGATCGCGAAGTTGGTCCCGATCAGCAGGCTCCATGGTAGCATGCCCTGCTTCACTGGCAACATCAGAAGCCGCATCATCGGGACCTGGTTCGAGAAGGCCGCGCATCCCCTGCAGATGGCGGCGGTAATTCTTCCATTGATCGAGAGAAATGGCGGTGAACTCCGTAAGCTTGTCATCGGAGAACTCGCGGAGGTGTGCTTCTACGGCGACGAAGTCCACCACCCTGCCGCGACGCCGTGGGTCATCATTCGCACTGTCAGGGACCGTGCCAGGCTGCGCACCAGGCCCGAGCGGCGCCTGAAGGGGCGCCCGCAGGGGCAGGCTGGGCCGCTGAGCGGGCGAGGGGCGCCTCCTTCCTGCTCAGCACGACGGCGCCGTTGGTCGTTGACCTCGGCACAAATGACGAGCTTGAACTGGTTGACGTCGAACAGCGTCTGCTCAGTGTCGGCGTCGCGCGCGGCGGCGCGAGCCCTCCCCAAGTCCTGCGCCGCCTCCGCATGGTTTTGCTGCATCTCCTCCTTCGTAGCCTTTGCCGTCTGTCGCGCTCGAGCCGACACTGGGCCTCCTGCGTCGCAAGGCGCTCACATTTTGTAGCCAATTCGACCTTCTTCGCCAAGGGTGTCTGCTCAGCCGAAGCCAAGCGGCCAAGCTCAGGATCCATATAATCGTGCACATCAAGGAGTAGAGGGGCAGCGGCCTGCTTCGCCACCCCAGCGAGGGCAGGCAGTGGACCGACCAACCCTCGAGCTTCTCAACGAAGTGTGGTGGCATTGGCACCGCCGCAGCTCCAGGGGGAACCCCGCGGGAATCATCAGGTACATCAGCAGCGGCGCGACCACCATCGAGAGGAACGCAGTAGCCGCCGCACAGGCTGCACTGGCGGTGACCGTGGTAAGCATGCCCCCAGTGCCCGCATGAGCCACACACACACACGGTAGGAATTATTTCTCTGCTTCTTCTTCTTCTTGGGCCAAGGGTCAAGCCTCCACACCCGACCCCCAGCGCCGCCCCTGCTGTCACGATCACGCCGCGGGGCACGGGCGCGCCAGGACATGCCGCAAGTAGCAGGAGGAATCGGATCGCCGTGACACTGCTCCCTCAGGAGCGTAGGCCGAAGAAGGCCACCAGGGGGCCTGACTGGGCTGCCCCCCCGATGGCAGGAAGCTGCCCTGGCCAGCTGCCTTGGCAAATGGCAACTTGAGCCAGCATGGCCTGGGCCAAAATGGCTACGGTGGTGATGATGTTTTTTTTGTTTCCAACGACGTCAGAGCCAACAGGAAGGATATACTGACGCATATCACCTCGTAGGAAATTTGAGGCTCGCCGCAGAGAGCGGTGACTCTCGAGTGCTGCTCAGAGCGGCGCCACCAGGGTGCTGATCACAGCGAGTGCCAGGCGGCATGGGCGAAGCTATGAATAAAATTCTGCTGCTACGAGGTCTTCGGCCTCATAGTCACCGAAAGGCTCGGGGTCGGGAACCTGCGCTGGCAAAATGTGGCCTGGCTCCGAGCCTGGCTCGCTGGGGGAGGCGCGCGCAGAGGTCGCTGTCTCTGGGGCAGCGCTCGAGGCTGGCAACAAAAAACACACACACTCAAACCTGACGGGCTCTAGAGGTTGTCACTGATCGTCTCCAGCCAATGGCCCGCCTCGTCCTCGAGCCAGCCTGCAGGGGCTACCCCCTTGTGGTGAGTCGCGACTGCCTCTGCCTTCAGCGCCCTCTGGATGAGGGCGCGCCCCTCCCAGCTGGGGGTGCCCGCGATGACCTTCACCTTCTGCGTGTCGTAGCAGCTCTCCAGGCGAATGAAGCTGACGGCGACTTCCAGGTCCGATTTGTCGATGTCGGGCTCCGTCTCCGCGTCCTCGGGGGATCACTTGTGCAAGTAGGTCCGTATCTCGTTCTTGATGCCGCCGCCTATGTCGCGCTCCATGAGGCACTCCAGGGCTGCCAGCGCCAGGCTGGCCGCGGGGGGCCGATCTGCTTCATCCTCGCCTTGCCCTCCGCGCCCTGCGTCCGCAGGGAGTCGAGCAGGCCCTTGTGCCCCTCCAGCTCGGCGCTGATGTGGCTGGCCATCACGTGCTTGGACGGCGCCGTGTAGGTGTCGATCGCGACTGAAGAGGCCAGGCGGTTCCTGTGGGCCGTCTGGAGAACGAGCTTGAGTGTCGCCTGGAGGAGTGCTAATAGAGTTCTGTCCTTGCTGTTCCACGCCTTGATATGCTGATCGCCGCGGCGAGTGCGACGCCCTCCTCTGCGTCTCGACTTCCTGCGTATCCCCTCGTCCTCGCCCTCGCCCGCCATGGCCGCCCTCGACCTCCGAGTCTGCCTCCGCTGCTCCTCGCCGCGGTGGCGGTCGCTGAAGTCGTGGCTTGACCGATGGTGGGGCCCCCGCTGCCTTTGCTGCCGAGTCTTGCCCAGATCCTCGCGAGCCCTGAGAGGAGCCCAGGGGGTGGCGCCACGCTGCTCGTGCAGGGGCTGCAGGGGCCTTCGCTGGCGGCTGCTCGTTCTCGGTCATCCCCAGGCTCAGGAGGCGGAGGCGCAGCTGGCGGTGGCGGAAGTGTCGGGATCGATGCTGCAAATCTGGTCCGCGTCGGCGCGGTGGATGTCGAGATGCCTGCTATGAGATGAGCTCTCGAGAGTCCAGCACTGGGTGATCTCCTTCGCGTGGGGGCATTCTCTCGCGGTGCGAGTAGTAGTCGATCCGTGGCCCGTCGTAGTTCGCGCCTGGCCGCCAGTGCGCCCTGCACCTGCACTGTCCGTGAAAGACGGGGAGGAGGCGGCACAGCGAGAGGCCCGCGCGGATGTTGGGTGGTTGTGCTCTCCACCTCTCTGCGCGATACCTTCTTGAGCAGGGAACCCGATGGCGACGGAGGGGTGTGGGTGCGTAAATGTTGGCGTAGCTTAACAGGGTCATGAAATTCGAGTGTACATGCAGTGTCCACTTGATATTCCGATAACGGTCATGTTGTACATGATGAGGGTATCCATGGGTAACTATGATGTGTGGGTGCCGCAATACACCTACATTGTACCCATGCTCGTCGTAACTGTCGTACAGCGTGGTCTACATTAGGAAATGTGGTATCGCATACACTGCAGTTGTTGTCATACTGTAGAGTGGTTAGTATTTGAGGCTGCCCGTGTCCTTCAGCTTTGCTTTTTTTGTTTGATGGTTAACCAGCTCTCGTATGGACCCCAACCGCATATCGCGCCCAGGGGGCCCGCATCGAAATGGTCGAACGTACTCGGCATCGCTGTCGGTCTCAGTCTGCTGGGTCTGGGGCGGGGTGGCCTCAAGAATGCTGTTTCCCTCGGGGGGGGGGGGGGGGGGGGTCCACTGGCGCGTCCAGAAGGCTGCGCGAAGCGCTCGTACATCACAGTAGAGAAATGCATCGCGAATCTGATCATCACGCCAAAGTTTTTCAATCGTCTGCGGTTGCCACAGCTCTCTCAATGATTCACCACTCGAATGTGAGATAAGGCACTCGAGGTCACTCGAGAGCTGGCGCGCCCAAGGATGGGCGCATGCGTCGATCTTGCCCTGCTCGTTGAGGGTCGAGACTGAGACGGGGCGGTTGCCTTTGGCCGCCTGCTTCGCAAACTCACATCTCCCAAAAATGCCGCGAGGAACTGACCGTGGTGGCTGACGTTACCAACAATGCCCTGCCACCAACTGAGACGCCGCACTAAAAGCTCGATGGCGGTTGGGGCCACCTGTCATTCACGAAAGACCTGGAGCGTTGACATGGAATGATGGTGGCCCTCTGAGTCTTCGTGATGCGCAGCTCCTTTCAGCATGGGCCGTAGCTTTTTTGCAGGCGTACAGTCTTGTCGGTGTACCTCACGGGGGCGTAAGATGTAGCTCTCGAGGCCAGACCAGACGCGGCCCGCGACGTTCGACAGGAACGATAACCTTTTTTGTTTCCAAGGCCCCTTGGAGAACAAGTAGTCACCCAATCGAGTCCACCCAATGTTGCACGAGACGGTACGTTCGTGTAGTTCACGCTGTGAGTGTAATGCTACATGTATATACCCACCCAGATGTATGAGTTCCTGGACCGCTTTGCCAGATATGTGTCGCTCGGCATCTTAGTGCTGATGCTGATGATGATGATGATTATGATGATGATGATGACAATGATGATGATGGTGATGATGATGGTGATGATGCTGATGGTGATGCTGATGATGTTGATGGTGACGGTGATGATGATGCTGATGCTGATGGTGATGCGGATGAGAATGCTGATAATGATGCTGCTGCTGATGATGATGACGGGGGGGAGGAGGAGGAGGACGAGGAGGAGGAGGAGGAGACGGAGGAGGGGTAGGAGGAGGAAGACGAGGAGAAGGAGGATGGAGGAGGAGGACGAGAGGAAGGGAGGAAGGGAACTGGAAGGAGTTGGGAGGACCGAGAGAGACGTGTTTACTGGTGGAGCTGGAAATGAATGAGGGGGGGGGATGGCAGGAGATGGCTGATATGGGATGAGAAAACGATGAGGAGGGATTGGGTACGAGGTGGAGGAGGATGGAGGAAGGTGGAGGAAGGCGATTACGACGACGAATGCCTCTCGCATATCGGATATACTGTAGTTTCTTACGCGGTGGGATGCTCCAGGATGGGAGGAGGAGGGCGAGACGTAGGATTGAGGAGGAGAGCGGGGGCAGGGAGGCATAGGTGGCAGGGAGCAGGGAGGAGGGGGGAGAAGAGAGGGGGAATGCGGAAGGATGATGAACCCCACACGCCCTCCGTCCTGTTGGTGGCCAAGGGATGCACCCCTAGCTCCTCCCTGCAGTCCTTGACTCCCGCAGGGAGGGATGCGCCTCGTGACCCAACCCTCCCCATGGTCCCAACCTTGGCGGACCAAGACCTCGTTTTCACCCCCTGCAGCCGAACACGTCGATGTGCAAGCACGAGCGTCGAACATGGTAATTTCGATTGAAATGAAAGCCTTGGCCCCAATGCGGCATCACACCCCGCTTGTTCCCATCAGGCTTCCTAGACGGTCCAATCGGCCTCCACCACTCTCCCAGCAGGCATCAAAGGACAGCTCGAGAGGCTCCCAAGAGACCCCCAAGAGACACCAAGAAGCGTCCGCAGAGGAACACACAACTGCATAAACGTAAACTTTCGGAGGTCTACGAACATTTCTTGGATCAGCACGGGGGCCCTCTCTCCCTGGCGCGCGAAGCGCGTGCCACCAGGAGGGCCCAACGCAGATCCGAGACATCCGCGAGGAATCCCGAAAGTCTACGTTTGTGTTTTTGTTCTCTTTGGGGCCAACAGAGACCGAGAGGCCCCTTAGATGAGCCCCAGAAGCTAACAGCGGGTCGCAAAGCTCCACCGTCACCGCTCAACTGGCATCGCCCTGAAAGGCACGCTGGCCCTCGAAGGAACACCTGTCGGACACAGTCGCACACGGCCTTGCTCACGTCCAACGGGTCCTGAAAAAAGTCTGTCCTGGACCTTGGAGCCTCCCCCTGGGACCAGCTCATCATCCTGAAAATTTGTTTGACAATCCTGGGGCCACTGAAGGGTTCCGGAAGCCCGAAACATGCGAAACAACGTTGGACCCGCTTCCCTCGGGACCAGTTCCCTTCATGGCGAACCATGGAAAGACCCAAGAAGCACCACTGGCGGACACTGCCCATGCAGGAGCCGAAGGGATGACCCAGGGGCAGCCGTACGCCTCGCGGCGCCGTTTGTTCGTTCGTTCCCAGTCGTATTGAAGAGACAGCGCCGCGCTCCACTCCTGCCGCTGCCCCCTCCGCCTCATCACTCCTCTTCCCGCCTCCCCCTCTTATCCCTGCGTCTGCCCTCGGAATCTCGTCACCAATCATCACCACCATCAACCTCATCATCACCGTCGTCATCACACACATCCCGGCACAACCCTCACACGCTTCGTGGCTTCATGGGGAGCTCCATCGAAGGCCCCAGCGGCTGCGGCCGCATGCGTCCACCACACCCATGTTGGCACATCCCTCATACGTTTCGTGGCCCCGAATGGGGGCCCCGCCTGAGGCCCCAGTGGCTGCGGCCGCATGCGTCCGCCACACTCATATCGGCACCCTCCTCATACCTTTCGCGGCCGATGGGGGCCCCACCAAAGGCCCCAGCGGCTGCGGCCGCATGCGTGTGCCACACTGGTTTCGGCACACCCTCACACGTTGTGTGGCCAAACAGGGAACCCCACGTAGGCCCCAGTGGGTGCTGCCGCATGCGTCCGCCACACTCATTTTGGCACCCCCCTCACACATTTCGTGACCCCTGTAAAGCTCCACCTAATGCCCCTGTGGGTGGAGCCACATGCGTCCGCCACATCAATTTGCCACCCATTTCACACGCTTCGTGGCCCCATGTGGGGAGCTCCACCTAAGACCCCAGTGGGCGTGGCCTGGTGCGTCCGCCATGCTCACTCTGGCACACCCTTCATCTACTTCGTGGCCCGACATTCACCGAAGGCGATATCCACAACGACAGCACTCACAGCTGCATGTGTTTGGGTCCTTCGCCAGGCTCATGTGATTTCCCCCTTCCCCTTTTGGAGTCAGTCCTCGAGTGGGCCGCGGCGCTAGGGGTGAGAGCGATGGCGGAGGCAGTACCGGTGATGATTAAAGCGAAGAAAATGATACAATCAACCCGTGTAATAAACATGATGGCCACTACCGTGCCGGATGCTGGCCAACCGGTACCGTCGACACGGCTATGTCGGCAGGTGATCTTGGTTTTTAGCAATGCGCCTGGGAAGATTTTCGGACGTGGCTTCCCTGCGCGACCATGTGGGTCACCGCACATCGCGCCTTGCGGCTTGCAGGCGCGTCTAAGGGACGACCTGGGCATTCGCCGCGCCTGTCGTTCGCGCGCTTTTGCCGACGCAGGCGCGAGCAGGATGTTCCTTTGCCTCGTTTGCGGGGCGTCGTGCGAGAGATTCCCGCATGAACCCGCGGGGGCTGCACCTGCGCGACGCTTGATGGCACAATCCTGCGCCAGTAGATGAAGCAAGGGTAAAACGCTCTCACGCGATGGGCGGGGAAATCTATGCAATGAAAATGAGAGACGACATTTCGTAGGGCATTGTAAAATCAGAGGCCACGGCGCGGGCGCCGTAACGAAGGCTGGTTGTCGCTGAGCGCGCGGCAGGGATTCCACGCGATTGCCCTCTCAG